GAATAGGCCTTTTTGTCAGGCAAAGATTAATCCTACATTTGCTATAAAGATCCGTGAACAGACAGACGTGGTCCTCTTGCAACAATGCCTGAACTGAGGCGATAACCTCTGCCTCCAGCCAAGCCGGTTGAACTCAGGCAAGCCTACATGCGTCCACACATGCGACCTAACAAGGGCTCGGATATGTGGTCTGCCAGATTGGAGTTTAATTATCAAATTAGTGTCAGCTCGGGGACTCAGCAGTCAGTCTTTACTTCACACAATTCACTCATGCCATAAAAGTCAAACAGGTGGTAAGTCAGAAAGCACGTGTGCTGAGGCCTCTTTAATCTGTTGAAACCCCCTACACGACATGTGTATTTGCTCATATCAGGCAAATCTGCCGGGGGCACGAGCCATCTTGATCTTGCTTTTGTCAAAGACTTTGACTACAACCCAACACCAACACACACGGACACTAACATGCGTGTGAGTGTGCGTGTCTAGATGTCTGCACAAGAGATGTGCATATACGAATAATGCTCATACAGAAGAGGAGAAGGGGACAGCATATGTATGCATGTGTTTATAGGCCAATGCGAACCAGTGAGTTGAGGCTTTTGAGCATATTTCTCCTGCTGTTTGGCCATTTATCTGTGAACTAAAGGTCCACAAATTACCGGCATCACCAGAGCCGAGTGTGTTGAGGAGACGAAGAAGGAGCGGATCACAAATGGAGGCACGCTCTTTTCTCCCGACCTCTTTTAACCGTTTAGCCCATGTCCCCTCGACACTACCCTCAGAATCTCCTATTCCCATCCTCTCCAAAATATATCCTTTGCCCCTTGTCTTGGGCGCACTCGAGCAAATACACACACAAGCATGCACACGCACGATTGCTTTGCTGCGTCCCTGCTGGCTTGGGAGAACTCCTCTTCGACCCATTGGCTCTGGTCTGACCCCTTTTTGGTTGAACCAGACTCATGCCTCCCCCACCATTGTCTCAGCTCAACTCGTCTTTCTCATCCTCAGTCTGCTCCCGGTCGGCATAAGTCTTTTCCTACTTCTCTCATGTGAACTTCGGCTTAGAATTCGCTCTATAGCAGTTGTTCACAGGCTCTGTCGGCCTGTCAAGCTGCCATAGGCTACTTCTTTTACAAGCAGATCAGTTGGTGCAAACATGAGGTGAGCTTTGGACGACACATCTGCTCTCACATTTCAGCACTACTCCTCAAAGCCGGCATACAAAATGCCCATTGCACCCAGCCCATCGTATACACCATATGGAAGGGAGAAGAGGAGAGGGAGGAGGGGCAAAAAATCAGTCCCGGCATGATTTAAGGGAAAAAGGTAGGAACCTGCCGTGGGATAGCGTTATTGGCTTTGCTTTCTAAGGTTCAGCTGAGCCGGTACACATGGCGGAGCAAAAGCGTATTCGTTGATTTACTTTTTGCCAAATCTCATTCTATGCCACAGTATATACTGTCAGTATCGCAAACTTTCTCATAAACCAAAAAGGTATATACAGGTCGAGTATTTGCAAAGCAAACGCTACGAAACCAATGTGATAATAGAACCGAGATTTGACCAACAAACACGAAGAAAAGCGTATGAGGCTGTGAGATGTCTGCATTTTGGTTTCACTATGTGACTAG